GACATTGTTAATGATCTATCAAATATTCATTCTAAAAACTTTATATATCAGAATTTAAATCCTGGTAATATTTTACTAAAAGAACGATATAAAACTTATATTGATTTAGGTTCATCAATATTATGTGATAAAAACAGATAGTGTTTTGCCATATTAGCACCTTGGGTCCTGAAAGGTGAACAATTCACTCAAGCTACTAATATTTATAGTTTTGGAATTATTATGATAGAAATATTAACTGGACAAAGACTTTTCGATAGTTACAATTTTGATGCTAAATTAGCGGCAATAATTTGTCATAGGTTATGATCTGAATTTTTTATAAAGACACCAAAATGTTATGTTAAATTGGCAAAACAATGTATTAATTCAGATATAAAAAACAGATCTAAGACTGTTGAGATTATTGATAAACTTGAAAAATAGAAAAATATTATAGTTGCACACGATAATAATACCAAATCAGATATAAAAAAAAGAACTAAGGCTATTGGAATATTTAATAAATTCAAAGAATAGAAAAATATTATAGTTGTCAATAATGGTAATGTTAAGTTAGATGAACAATGCATTGATTCAGATAAAGAGATCATACAGCAATTTTTAAAAGCTAATAAATCAGAATTCAATTACCTCACAAAAACACAATAATATGATATATATTTCTAAGCTTATTTATATAAAAGAAATCATTTCAAAGTCTGAAAATTTAGGATTAATCAATAACTTAATCTAAGTAAAAAAATCTGTATTGAAAATATTAATAGTAATTTATTTTTTCATGATTTTTATAAATAACAAGATTAAAGGATATTAAATACTATAATATAGATCTATAATAAACGTGAATAAATTATTTTAAATGCTTTTTATACCCACCAAAATTAATACGAATAATAAAATTAAATTTAAAGATTACATAAATAATGATATATTCCCTGCAGAAAAGTATTCGCCTTACTTTAAATTATGCAATATTTAGTTACAATACTGTTAAACCTTTCATTTAGGTTCAATTTACTCATCGACCTATATTTTCTAAAATTGCTCTATACGATTTACAAACTAAGTCAGTTGATGAAAACATAATATGAAACTCTATATTATAACAAAATAAATGAGAAAATATTCAAGATTAAGCTGTAATGCTAAATCTAATAAAAAGCTTTATGATTTAATATAAGAATTGGCATTTATAATCCTAAATAACATTGACTACATTCCTGATTTTAGTGTGACAGCATTATAATGATAAAATTATCTTGCATATAAGAATATAAACCGATCATTGCCGAAATCAATAACTTAATCGAATTACCTGAAAATTATTCAGTCAATTTTTATCAAGTGCTCTGAGTATTTGAACTTAGACTAGTCTGCAGACTTCGGACCAGACCTGGACCAGACTCAGATTTGATTAAAAAGTTTGAATATAAAAGTCTGAGTCTGGTTCAAAAATCAGACCTGACTCAAACTTACTAAAGCTGGTTTAAGCCCAGTTCGTAGGAGCACTAGCTTCTGGTAGACTGATATATCTTGTATCAATATATTGTTTAATTTTATCATAGTCTCAACCAAATTGGATTGTAGTTCGGTTATGACCCTTATAAATATATTTATGAATATATTTAATAGCACGTATAGATGCATATATTTCGATATTAATATGACAGTTATATTTGCAACTAAGAGCTAGATTATATAGTACTATATCTCGATTATAAACAGATTTATTATCAATATCAAATACTTGTCTACTGTTTCTTCTCATATAAATTGGATATCCATCTATATCTAGTGAAGTTACATTATAAAATGGTTCAAGATATTATATTTGTATTGTCTATCTTGTATACACAGTGCTTGAGGGTTACGAAGACCACAGAGGCCATGGACCATACAATGCAATATAGTGTCAAATAGTAGTAGGTCTATTTATTTATCAGTAAATGTTGCACTTACTATGTTATCTATATTAGCAAGTTCTTTTATTTTAGAATCTTTATCAAGAAAGATTAGAAAATGCATATAAGGAAAACTACACTTTTGGAACTCAACTATATAGATATATACAACAGCTTTATTAAGAAAAGCATTTTTTTAATATCATAAAGAAGAGATTGATATTTTAGTTTAAATACGTGTACTACCAGGTCTGAACAATCTGATGACATTTGATTTGGTAATAACTTATTGATAATTTCAGGCCATTTAGGATTTGCAGTCATAGTTTCAAAAATATCAGGATGATGGTAAAATTGAGTAATAGCTATTGAGTTCTGATAAATTTTGAACATGTGGCACAAGCTACCAATATGCATAGAGGAAAGAATTACTTAACGTCCAAGATTATTAAATAATAGTTTACCATTTGCAATATTTTTTGCAATATTGACTAAACCCTGATAAAGATCAGCACATAGTATATCTTGGTTTTTGTGTAAAAATCTTACCTATTTTGTTCTGTAGTTTAACTATAAATTCCTGAAATAATTTACCTCTTTGAAGAATCATTAAAAATTTATTTTGACACAGAAAAGGTGAAAAGAAAAAAATTCTTCTGCATTAAATGAGAAATTTTAGTCTGATCATTGATTCAATTGTTTTTACTATCTTCTAATGATTAATATGATTCTTTATGCTATCCGAGTTCACCACGTAGAAAAAAAATACATAATGTAATGGTAAATAGACTGGGTAAGCTTCATGAATACGTTCAAGCTTGTTACTACATAGACAAATAACTATATCACATATTGTTTCTGGTACAGATCTATCATCAGGCAAAATAATAGCTATTTCATCTACTGTTGGAAGATTATAGCGGTGTCTATCTATCAGATTATTGTAATGCAAATAAATAGTTAAGTCTGTAGTAGATGTGTTATTCGTATGAGCTTAAGAAAGAATTTTATGAGCTTGCTGATATAGTGAGTAAAATGCATGATAAGTATGTAAGATGTTCTGTATTTTCTACATTGTTTGTGTCAATAAATTGGCATTACAGTTTATTTGTATTAGATGTGCAAATACAGCATTGTAGATATAAAGTTGTGTATAAGCAGGTGTATTGTAATCAGTAAGAATGAGTGGTCTAAATAAGTGATATAGTTCTCTGTTAATACAAAAGACATATGGACCATTTCTCTGGAGTACAGTTTGATCAATTGTGATACCTAACAATATAAATGCATGTGCAGCATTGTATTGATGAATGTTTATATAAAATTTTCTAGTATTCTCATTACTGCTTTCAAAAAAATGTCTAAGAAAAAGTGGGAGATCATTAAGAAGGGGAAGTATAATTTTTCCTTGCTGGCAACATAAACTAAATTTAGGATTTTTCATTGAAGAATATGTCAATCATTCATCTAGCCAATGAAGTGCATTGCAATAAGTATATTCTATATTCATATGACCAAGATCATGTTGATTTTTTGTGTTTTTTCACATTTTCTTCTCAATGATTGCATAGTAATATTCTGATTTATATTTATATTAGGATAATATAATGATCAGAAAAATGAGTAATAGCTGTTTACGGTGAGTTTAGATCTTGAGAAAGTAAGTTTTTGCATAAAGTTTTATGATTTTGAATTGTAAATTGTTTTAGTATTATTTTAGTATTATTTTATCAGAGTTAATTTTTTTAAAAAAATTAAAAGCAAAAAAGGGAGCCTTTTATACAATTCATTTGTTATATACGAATTTTTCTTGATGTCATAGATAATTTACAAATTTTATTTAATCATTTTTACTAAATGATTTTTATATTTATCATACTTTATTTCAATATTGACACTATCAGTTCATTTATAGTCATTTCAAATTGCGCCCTTGTTTACATCTAATTTTCATTAACAATTCATCTATAGATCTTATTTACATATATTATTACATATTTATACTTTATGTGCTATAGATTTTATTCGCGCCATTGTTATAATAACATATTTATTTAGACGTGACGATGAGTAAATAAAGGCTAAGTATCAAGATGACCATATATAGCATATGCGATGAAATGTATAATGAAAATAATGCAAAGGAATTATTATTTGACATATTTAGGTTTAAATGTTACAGTTTAACGGATACTATAATTGTCAATTCTGATGTCACCTCATTTGTTTGTTTTTAGTTCGGTAGGCAAGAATAAAAGTTAATTGATCATTGCTCTTAATTATTTAAGTCTAATTTAATTTAAAATATTTGATCTTTACTATGTAATTCACTTATTTATATTCAAATTCTGACTTTTAATGCGATTTTTAAATCTACAGAATCTCCAACGCAACATGACATAGTGTTCTACAATGGCTTTTTGCAAAGCGAAATAACAAAGGATCTAAATCTGCTTTAGTCGATTTAAAACAAAAATCAGTGATTTATATCATTGTGATTCAAATCACACACAATCCTTAATTCATGGTTTAAAATAATTCAGATTGATTCATGCTTATTGTTTGTAATGTTTCAACAACATGTTATTACCTTGAGGATTTCAAATTTTTGCTTTAAGAAATTAAAGTAAAGTTACCCGATGATTTTTATAAAAGTATTCACGGTATTTCTTACTAAATTATGAAAAAAAAATATTAAATTATCATACGAAACGTGATCAAGTGACTCAAAGAGAATACAGAAATGATCAACAAGTTTCACTTTGGTCTTTGATGATCAGTTGATTATTATTTAATCAGATCGGTAAAGAATCTGACAAAAAAATATTAAAAATGCCAAATATTTAATGAATGAATGCAAAAATTTATCTCAGGTCATTAATTTTTGTGTCCAAAAATCATGATTTTATTGTAGTTTACTATTTCATTTGTAATTATATTTACTTGCATTTTTGTATGATGTGTTATTCTGCTTTATTTTTTTTCTTTACTCTTTATTTACGGGAATGAGAATATATATAATTAATAAGAGAAAGATAAGATTAAGTGATTTTTACACACAACCTTCGAAATCACCAAATACGTACGAAAATAAATAGGATAAATTAAGAACTTGTTTTAACTCGTAAAATTAAGATATGCACGTACGTCGTACATACAATGTTTGTTGTGCAGTGAAATCACAAGGGGCGTGTTATGTGTAACAATGACTTAGCACAACGTTGTAATGAAAAGCTATTTGGCACCGTTATCCCCCAACCTTGTCTTATAGGGGATAATATTAAGATTTTTTAAAAATCTTAGCTATTTATAGATTGCACGGGGCCCTGATGGGCCGGTCCGTATCACTAGCTGACAAACGTTTTATTTTCCGTATAACAATCGCCACCATATTGCGCATAAAAAATCTAGGATTGGTTACGTTCAACTCCGATCTTCGGATTATCGCAACCTGTTTCAGATTGTTTATGTAAAGTACGTACGTACGTACGTATGTTTATATTTGTTGATTAACTTAATTCTAATAATTTTGCAGTAAAAACCAAATTATTAGACTCATATTTTTGTATAAACCATAAAGTATTTATATAATCGTTATAATGAAAGAAAAGTATGGAATTCCTGATTCGAGTTCTTCGACCGTAAGCATAGTAATAAATAACTTTAAGAATAATTAGTATAAATGTAATATATTTATTTTTAGTCTGCAGGACATAATCACTTGACTTTTACTATTGATCGTGCTAAGGAGTTAATGAAAGACTTAGGAGATCCATCAAATTTAATTAGTTTTAAGTATTTAGTTGAAGATCTTGAAATGGAGCCTTCTGCTCCATTATTAAAATTATTAGTCGATGCACTTTTATTACTTAGTGATGCTTCTTTATTTGACGTTAAATGCTATACAAGGAATACTATTCCACATTTAGAATTGCATCTCCGAACTTGGGTTGCCACCTTAGAAGTTGTGTTTTATTCTCCTACCGTATTAACTCGTGAAACTCGTGACAAACTATATAGCAATTTAGATAATTTTGTCGATATTCATTATCGAGCAACTGCAATGTTTAGCCAAGGTGTTAATCATAGCTTTAAGTCTAAATTTAAATCTAAGGAGATTAATATTACTAGCAATACCTACATGCATTTTCCAAATTATAATATTAATTTTTTATTGATCCACTTACGTGATACTTTACACAGCATGCGTGATGATGAAACTAAACTAGATGAATTTTTACGACGTTTTAGAGAAGCCATTTTAGGTCTTATTAATAGTGCCTCTACAATACCATCTATTGCTTCTGGAAATGTTCCTGCTGCACTTGATAATTCATTTACTAATAACTCTTTACCAAAAATTATAAATGCTCTCAACATTAAATATCCTATAGCTTACTGGTATCCAGTGTGGCGTGAACTTTTATTAATGCATTATTCATTAAAAACTTTGACAAGAGATTTAAATTATAATATTTTACGATTCTATAATGAGACTTATCTTCTTGAATCACTTTGGCAACATGCCTTTAATCAGGGGTATGAGCAGCAAAAGCATGATGATATTCTAACTATCTTGAATAATCATAAAGCATTTCGTGGATTGTGGACTAGAAAAGAGCCAACTGCTTTACCAAACTCTTTATGGTTTGGTGTATTAGACCTTGCCCAAAATTTAAGCTATCAAACTGTTCAACCTGTTAATTTAGCTCTTTGTTATTATTTAGGCTTGGAATCATTGCAAAAGTCTCAATGTTACTATATACAATTCAAATCTTTAGAATTGCTTATATCTCTCTCTTATAAAGAACCTGATTGGTTTAAAGATTTAGTACAAGAAGAATTAGAAAATATTATTAAAGTGTTACCAGTAGATTCACAGCTAAAATTTGAAAATTTAATTCATGATATTAATCAAAAGCTTCAATTAAATAACGAATTTATGAACAGTTTGGTACAAATTATGAAAAGAAATCGATAATCAAGAACAATGTACCAGATAAAACATCTAATCCCTTACTAGAAATAATTGCAGAGCATGTTACCTGTAAGATTACTAGACAAATAACTGGAGATTTTCTTGTTTTATCATGCTGTGGACAATCGGTTAGCCGTGATGCTGTTAATAAGTGGAGAAACATTTCAATATTTGAGAATAAATTATTTGAATGTCCATTTTGCAGAACTGAAATTAAGATGGAATCAGTCTATAATCTTGCACAAATTACAATGGTAAAAGACCTCTATAAAAGATTAGAGCAAGAAGGATATTTAAACTCTTTAAGAGAAGAGCAGCAAATGCCAACAAACAATATATATATAGCAGAAGATGATTTACTTTTAAAAATTAATAAAATGCACATATTTGGTATCCATATGTTATCTAAATCACCTATTTCAGTTTTAAAAAAAGTCCGCCCAAAAGTCTTACATCCAGCATTAAATAAAGCAACTAAAGCAGAACAACAAAAAGACTATGAAACAGCTATAGTGTGGTTAACACAGCTTTTACAATCTTATCCAAATAGCCAACCAATTTTATGTAGAAAAGCATTTGCATCATGGCAACTTAAATTATATTCCCAAGCTTTAAAAGATTTAACAATAGCAATTCAATTAAAATCATCAAAATCTTTGGCTTATAATTACAGAGGTCAAATATTTCATGAAATGAGTAATTTTAAAGAAGCACTTGCAGATTATAATAAATCATTAGAAATAAGACCAAATGATGCAATTACATTAAGTAACCGTGGATTAACATATGATCATATGGGTAGATATGGAGAAGCACTTGCAGATTATAATAAATCATTAGAAATAAGACCAAATGATGCAACTACATTAAGTAACCGTGGATTAACATATGATCATATGGGTAGATATGAAGAAGCACTTGCAGATTATAATAAATCAT